TTTTGAACCCAGGCTGCCTTTCCTGCCCTCTGGGAAGAAAATGCTGTGCCCTCCAGACAGTTGTGAGTTTGTGAGACAGGGATGGACCCTCCTGGGGCCACCACAACTGATCCTTGCAGGACCACACAGTCAGAGTACCCTGAATCTGCCACTCCTGGGACACCTAGGGCAGTGAGAGAATGTTCCAGGTACATTAAACATGGAGAAGCGGCGAGACCTCAAGCTTCCTCTTTGAAGAGGTCTGATGCTTTTACCTCCTATTTGTCCTTCAAAGACTGTTTTCACAGTGGTGTCGTCCGAGCTGAAGGGGACGTGTTTTCACCTCCCAAGGAGAACTGCACCGTCTGTGTCTGTCTGGTAAGCGTCACAAGATCCTCAAAGCCTCATGGCTGTTTTCTTAACCTTTGGGGGTTTTAGAGGAAGGGGAAAAGACCGGATGTTAAAGGTGAGCTTGTTGAGTGGAAGGGAACATTCTCAGGTTGTGGAATTTGGTTAGAAGCTGTAGAATTTAAAAGGGGGAGGGAAGTATAAAGCGGGAAGGTTGGTGGAGTCAGGGAGGCTTCTACTCCGCAGCAGACAGCCAGCAGGCACACAGGGTCGTCTGTTTAGGAAGGGGAGGGGACGAAACTCCCTCGGAAACTTCCCACCAGGGAGGCTGTTTTTCTCTCCAGGCAAAATATTTGCCAGCACAATAAAGGTCTCCACATTTGGGAGAAAGAAGGCTCATTACCAAAACCAGCTTGTTAAAAGTATTTGGCTTTGGGCAAATTCACTCCTGCAAGAATAGTTATTAAGCACCTACTATGTGCCTGCCCTGCCAGATGCTGTCCCGTGTATTTGATTAGGAGCATCTACTGAGTGCCAGGCCCAGGGTTGGTGCTTCTCATCTCTTTCCTCACTGAGGCTCCCAGCAGCTCTTCGGGCTTAGCTTTACTGCCCCTATTCTGCAGATGAAAAGACAGAGGCTGGGAGGTGGCAGAGTTGGGATTTGAGGTCTCTCTGAGCCCAAAGTCAGGGCTCTGTCCACCAGCCCTCACTGCCACCTTCTGACCATCTTTATTTTTTATTTTAGAGACAGGGTCTTGCTCTATTGCCCAGGCTGGATTACAGTGGTGCAGTCATAGTGCATTGTAGCCTCGAATTCCCGGGCTCAAGCGATCCTCCCATCTCAGTCTCCCAGGTAGCTGAGACCACAGGCACAAGCCATTACACCCGGCTAATTTTTTTTTTTTTTTTTTTTTATAGAGACAGGGTCTCACTGTGTTGCCCAGGCTGGTCTCAAATTCCTGGGCTCAAGCGATAGTCCCACCTTGGCCTCCCAAAATGCTGGGATTACAGGGA